CAACGTCTTTTCCGGTCTTCCCCCCTGTTAGCGCCCCCCCCCCCCTCCCGGGTCGCGCGAGTGAGACATCTGAAAACGGCTTCCCAAACCAAATGCACCCAATTGTGCCCGAAAATGGCTTTTCCATTAAATGGATCTACATTACCAGATCAGGCATTTCTCGGGCCCCCTCGAGATTGCGCCTCTCCGTGGGAGGAGCAACACGCGGAAAGGGCAGCGAGGGGCAAGAGAAGCCAACAATGTCCATGTTCGAGGGTGAGAAGTGGCGAAGAGGGGGCACGAGAAATGGACGCAGGCCAGGCGGAGCGGCGGAAAGGCCCCTGTCCCCGCCCCTTTTTCACACTCACTCTTCCGGATCTCTCCCTCGGTCCTCCTTGGCGCTGCTCGGAGCCCGGGGGGTTTCTTTCATCCCCTTCTTCCTCCCCAGCCAGGGCGATCGCGGCACCCCTCATTGGCTGAGCGCAGCCCACAGGGTGTCTCCTCGAGCAGCCCCACCGCCGAAGGCCAAGTGCAGGCGATATGCGGCCACGGTGGCCTGGTCTGGCATGTCGAAGTGCGCCAAAAGCAGGAGATGCGGTCCGTCGGCCGCCAGAGCCTGCGGGGTGGTGCCCGGGGCCTGGTCACTTGAGTACACCCCGGCCAGGTAGGACAGCAGGTAGGGCAGCCAGATGGTGTCGTCCGGCCACATGGCCGAGAAGGGCACCTGGTCGGCATCCACCCAGAAGGGCCGCATTTCGGGAGTCTCAACCGGCGAACCGGTGAACTGCCAGGCCACAAAAACATGCACATCCAGCAGGCGGTTCGGATCTGCGGAGGGCAGGTTGAAATTCAGTCGTCCGACGAAGGAAATACTTGTGGCGTGAAGGTGCGCCTCCTCGGCAAGTTCTGCCGGGTTTTTTTTTGGCCCCCCCCCACCCCCGCCCCCGCCCCCAGAGACGCAAGGCACGACGGCTTTTCGGTCAGTATGGGGCCAGGCAAAAGTGCGAGAGAAGAGGGACAAGAAGCGGGGAAGGAGGAGGAGGAGGAGGAGGCTGCCACAGCATAGGTTGATGTCCGCACCGCGAATCGCACATTCCTCCGACGTCTCGCCGGGCTCGATCTTGCCGCCAAATCCATTGATCAAGCCCTGGCCGAGGCCACGCTTCTTTTCGCCAAGTAGCACCTGGAAGCGCCCCGGGGCGTCCGGCGCCGCGCGCAGCGGAAACACCAGAGTGAACCCCTTGCGCGGGGCATCGAGCGGCCGAAAGTTCGTATCCCCCAGGGTCGGGGGATGGAAGACAGCAACGCCGGCGCCCCCCGGGTCCAAGCGGACGGCGCCACATTGCGATACGAGGTGCCCCTTGGAAGCAGGGTCGAAGGTGAAGTCCGAGTCGGGGATGCCAGCGTGGGTCATCGTCGAGGGTATTGCCTGGGGCTCGGCCGGGAGAGAGGGGAGGGGCAGAGAAAGTCGATCGTCGCCGGGGGGGGGGGGGGGGGGATATTCGTGCCAAGGAGCAGACGACCCCCCGCCAGGCGCGGCGGCCGAAATGGGGCACTCTGGTCAGAATCGCTGGCACTTGGGTGGCCTGATCAGGTCCCGGGATCAGCGCCAGACCACGCCGCTAGCTCGCCTTCGGGTCCCGGCTATTCCCCAGGCCCTTTCTCCCTCCCTCCCTTGTTGTATCTTTTGCGTGCTTGTGGTCCTCACCCGGCGGGGAGAGGGAGCACAGGCTTCCCCAGCCAGGAGGACAGAGGCGGGCGAGGTCTGTCAGCAAGCAGCCAACTCGTCCGGTTTCCCTCGCTTGGTTTAAATGATGCGGGCCGCATGAGCTGGGGTCCGGTGGCCTAGGGGGGAGGGAGGGGGGAGCGGCGCGCGCGCGCGCGCGCGCGGAATTCGCGGAGCCCCCCACCATCGGGCTCCTTGGCGGGACTTTCCGTCTGCTTGGAGACGGGAGGGCAGAGGCAGCAGGTCTCTCGCGAATTTCCCCATCCTCGGCATCGATGCTGGTCCTTTTTTTGTTAGAGAGCCTGCTTCCGGGAGCGGGCCCCAAAACAGCGGCCATAGCATTGGGAGCCGAGTGCTGCCGGCGTCTGCCCTGCCCCCCCCCCCCCCCCCCCCCCCGGGCACGCTGGAATGGGCGGAGGACGCATGCTTGCACCATTCATTCGCCCGTGCTTGCCAGATCCCAGCGCGTGTAGCATCCCCCGGGCGCATGCTCCTCGGGGGGCCGATTGCCCCGACCCCGGGGCGCGGACCGGTTTTTCGGCGACACGGCCGATTCCCGTTCTGCAGCTTCCTGGGAGCTGGCTGCCGATTGTCGCGGGCTCGTCCGGGGGGCGGGGGCAACCGTATCCGGCGAGTCAGGGGCGCAGTGGGATTCCCCCTGCGCCCCCCCCCCTCCCACATACCCATGCGCACGGCCACAGGCCAACTGCCGCTTAGATTGCGGCAAGGCGCCCGGCACAGGGGTCCCCCAGGCCCGGGGGAAAAGAGAAGGCCATTCGGGTAGCCAGAGGGAGGCTTGCCAAAGGCCCCCTCCCTCTCTTCTCCCGCCCGCCTGCCTTGCCCTGCCCTGCCCTGAACAGCCTCCGCTCTGCTCTGGTATAGCACTCCCCTCCGGCTGGCCTTTGCCCCCTCCCTCGCCCCCCTTCCTTCCACCCACGCCCCTGTTCCCCTTCCTCCTGCCACTCCTGTGCCCCTCGGTTGCCGTTCTTTTCCCGGTCCCTCCTCGCGCCCCGGGTTGCCTTCCCTCTCGGCGGCATGGCTCCTGCATACCCCGAGAGCGGGAGCTCCTCTCCTGGAGTTCTCGGCTCCCTGAACCGATCACTTGCCGAAAAGCAGGCCCAGAAGTATGATACTGCCGCAGAGCGGCTTGTGCGCGATTGGCTGGCCACCGCCCTGGCCCATGACCCAGTACGCCGGACAGCGCGTGCACGCGCCTTCACGCCCCCCCCCCTCTCTCTCTCTCCCTCTTTCCTGCCCCTCCCCCATGCCTCTCGGCCAACCGCCGTGCAGCCTCTTCCCTGACTCTCGGGTTCCTCCAGTCCTTCGCCACCGAGGTTCAGGCTCTCAAAAAGCCGGTCTCCTCGCCACAAGCCTTTCGCGACATCCTCATGAAGGGCGATGTCCTGTGTGCCGCGATCAACAGCATCGCCGGGGCCCCGTTGGTGGGGAAAAACCTGCGGGACGCCCGGACCTGCTTTCCCAACCCCATGACCCCCCCCCCCCCCCCTCCTTCTGCCCGTCATTCCTGTTCGTCTTGGCCCCGGCCTCCTATTTACACCCTCCGATCCTGATCCTCATCATGAGCGCAGGAAAATATCGAAAACTTTCTCAATGCCTGCCGCAGTCTTGGGGTCTCTTCGTTGTCGCTCTTCCGGTCAATTGATCTGGTCGAGGGAAAGGACATGGTGGCCGTGCTAGCCAGTCTGGACTCCATCCGGCTTTTTACTTCTCGCAAGGACCAGCCAGTACGTTGAAGCCAAAAAGAAAAAGAAAAAAATGGGGCGCGAGGGGGGAGGGGGGGGGGGGAGGGGCAGCAAGTTACATGTAACTTGTCGCGGGAACTTCGTGGGGTCCTCATCCCGACCGACTCACCATCCTCTTCCCTGTGCTTTTGTGTGCTGCGCTTCTCCTCTTTCCCCCCTGTAGGCCGGGAAGCAATCGCGGCCGCCGGCTGCCAAGTCCCAAGCCCTCCCCATGGCCGAGGCCAGGCCCGTGCGTTCGGTCACCGAGCCGACGCCCACCAAGAAGCCCCCCGCCCCGGGCAAGCAGTCCTCCACGCCATCCAAGCCCCCCCAAAGTGGGGCCCCCACTCGGCGGTCCTCCATCCCCGTGCATCCGCCTGGCCTTTCGGTGGTGGTGCCGCCAGCTCACCATGCCCACTCCGTGTCGCCTGTCTTCCGGCCTTCGCCGCTGACAGCCTCGACCGACTATTCGGACATGAGTGCCACGGCCAGCCCGGACGCCTCGATGCCGGAAATGGCGATGCACTTGCGCCGGCGGTCTTCCGGGGCGCGTTCCACCGATGGAGCCTTCTTGGGCGGTGGCCTGCGTCCGGAGCCCTCGGTGTCCTCTCTGCAGCAGGACCTCCAATTGAAGGCCATGCTCAAGCATGATCCAGCCCTGGAGGCGGCCGCGCGCAACTGGATTGTCGCCGTGCTGGAGCAGATTCCGGAGGGCGCGCGACCTACCCGTGACGGTGGTGTGCCGCTGCTGCCGCTGCTGCCGGCTGGCGGGTCGCTGCACCAGCAACTCAAGAGTGGCGAGGTCCTTTGTCACCTGGTGAATGCTCTTCGGCCTGGCACCATCCCCCGGGTGCACAAGCGTCCGATCGCCTTTTCGCAGATGGTGCGCCTACTTGTCACCTCCGGCGAGCCGGCATTGGTCTTGATTTCCTTCCCCCCTTCAACGCCCCCTCGGTCCACACTGACTGACCCGGTGTGGCGTCTCGTTTTTGCTCGCGCTTTCGGTTTATTTCTGGCTTTTCATCGTCTCCCCGCGCTTTTTTCGCGGCAGGAAAACATCGAGAAGTACCTGGAATCATGCGCTCTCTTCGGCCTCAGTCCTGCCGACCGCTTCAACACTGTTGACCTGTTCGAGCAGAAAGGCATGAACCAGGTCCGTGCGCTGCTCAGTCGGCCTCCTGTCCTTTGCAGCTCGTGCTGCCGATGTCTTTCCCCGTGTCCGGCGTCCTGACGACCAACAACATCCCCTCCCCCGCCCCCCCCCCTCTCTCCCTCTCCCCCTCTATTCTCTTTTTGGGTCCTTCCCCCTCTCAGGTTGTGGCGAACATCCACATTCTGTCAAAGCATGTGCAGCGCATGCCCGGCTACCAAGGCCCGGCCATGGAGGCTACCCAACGTGGGAATACCCTCTTTTCGGCGTCCCTTGTCGAGGGGTACTCGCTGGAGATGCTGTTTGATGATGGCCTCGATGAGGAGATCCCCCTGGAAGGTGATGCTGGCATCTTCAAGCCCGGTAGCCAGCTCCCAGAGCCTGGCTCTCTGGCCGAGCGCCAGTCTATGCTGCGCTGGGTGCAGGAGTGCCTGGCCTTGCCCCTTCTCCCGGGAAGTCAGCTGGGTGATGCACCGGCTGAAACTTTCCGCATCCGGAACTTGCGCGGGTCCATGCGGTCGGGTGTGGTCCTGCTGCGTCTGTTCGAGGTATGTTGTCTTTCAGTCCCGGGGCTTCGAAGGGGCCTTTTTGTCAGCTGCCTCGTCCCTCCCCCCCCCCCTCCCCCCTGTATGCTCTGCTCTAATATTCCCTTCGAACGACTCTCACCACCCCGCGTCGACGATGTTACACACCATCAGGCCGTCTCCCGCACAACGGTTTACTCCAAAGTAAACCCCGAGCCGACGGAGCTCTGGCACTGCACACTCAATTGCGACTCTTTGATGTTCGCCATTTCGTCGCAGATGTTCAACCAGTTCGACAAGTGCACGACCCATGGTATGTGGCCAATCCCGGGCGGCGAAGAGGGGACCCCCCCCCCCCCCCCCCGCGCGCATGTGCTCTCCGATCTTGTCTCCATCCCTCCCTCTCCATTGTCCATTTTCCTCTTGTGATCTCCCATCGGCCCCGGCTGACATATCCTTCTGCCCCCTTGATTCTGTCTTCCCATGTCCCCCTCCCCTCCCTTCTTTGCCTGACCCGGTGTCTTGCAACAAGACATTATCACCGGCAATCAGGACAAGATCTTCGAGCTACTGAAGTACATTCGTGGCTTTGATGATGATTGGGTGTATGCACAGTTGCTCAGCAACTCGGGGGACCCCGTCGGATCAAGTGCCACCTCGGGTCCGACTCACTCGCAGCCGGCAGCCGTCACTCAGCCTGCTGCCGGCCCCAAGGCCGATGCATTGCCCTCGGACTTGCCGGTCCTCCTGGAAGCCAACTACCTGGAGGGCACGCCCATGAGCGTGATCGAGTCGTTCCTTCGCCAGCGGGTGGAATTCGAGCTGGACCCTGCGGCGGGTAAGCCACCACGCGAGCCAGCCGGGCTGAGCTCCCTGCGGGCGTCCCTTGCCGGGGTCGTGCTTTTGGATTTGACCTTCACGGCGTCGACAGCCGCGGCGGACCCGCTGCCCCGGGAGCCGCTGAGCCCACAGACCCCCAAGCCTCGGAAGGACACCAATTCCCAGGACTCCCCCTCGGGGGCGAATGCGTCTTCGGGAATGTCGGCCAAGCGTGTGGCCAAACGCTTGGGGCAAATTTTCTCCCCCTTCGGTCGAAAGGCCACCCCGACGGCCAGCGACACCGGCTCGGCGGAGCATTCCCTCCCACCGGGTGATGCTCTGCCGAAGAAGCAGCGCCCACATTCGATGCATGTTTCTTCGACTCCTGGCCTGGGCCTGAAGACCCTGAGCCTGTCGAAGACCATTGTCATCCAGCGCACGGCTGGCATCACCAATGCCGTGCGTCCTCTCATGCGTCCCCCGCTTGCCCGCTGCCAGCCTTTCTCCCCTCGGTGCACCTCCTCGGCATTCTCCTCTCCTTTCCTTTGCCCGCCGACCTCTCGCACCGCTGTTCCCGGCGATCCTCACCTTCGTCTCCGTCCTTCCCCCCCCCTCTCTCTCTCTCTCCACATTCTCTCTCAACAGCTCAACCAGCGCCCATCGCTCCGCGAGCTGAAGGCTGCCCTCCTGGCGGGCACCCCCTCCCAAACGAAGCCCTCGGTCCCGCCGACGACGGCCCCTACGGCAACGTCAGGCCCCAGCTCGAAGGCCGACCACACCATGGCCCGGAATACGGCCGCCGAGCTGCTACAAACGGAAAAGATCTACTGCGCCAATATCGGCCTGGTCATCGAGCACTTCTACGAGCCGCTCCTGGAGGCAGCCCTTTCCCAGCCCACCGAGAAGTCCTCCAAGCGGGGCATCCTCTCCGCGCATGAGCATGACATGCTCTTCACAAGCCTGAAGGGTATGGACCTCTCTTTCCCCATGTCTTTCCTGCCCATTCCCTTCGGTGTCTCCCTCCTTTGCCTTCCCTCCCTTCCCCCTTCTCGCAGGACTCTCTCTCTCTCTCCCCCTCTCTCGCTAACCCGTCCGCTCTTCGCGCTCCTGCCGTGGCAGAAATCTACATCTTCCAGCAAACGTTCCTCCAGTCGGTGGAGGACCTCCTTCGTGATTGGTCGGAAACCTCCCACATCGGCACCATCCTGTCGGATATGGACACCCTGGCCACCATGGAGCGTGTCTATGCGCCGTACATGGCTGGGTATGCTCAGTCGAGCCTCTTCCTGGAGATCATCCGTCGTAAGAATCAAGCTTTTGCACGAGCGGTGACGGTACGTGTTTGGTGTTTCCTCTGGTGCCATTGTTGCTTGCCCTCCTCCCTTTATCCATCTTCTCCCCCTCTTCCCCTCTTCTCACCATGTCCGCCAACATATTGGTGTGCCCATGCGCCCTGCCTGCATCGTTGGACCACCATAACCCACACCCCAGGCCTTCGAGTCGAAGCACCTTGCCCCCTCACGGCTCAGCTTGTCCATGGTCCTGGCCATGCCCTTCCAGCGTCTTCCCCGCTATGAGATGCTTCTGGCCAAGTTCGACAAGTATGCCTCACGCCTGCCCGGCTTCCGGCCGGAGGAAGGCCGCGCCGCCACGCAGGCCCTGAAGTCCTGCATCCAGCGCGTCGATCGGAACATCATCCGCGAGGTGACGGACCGGTGCTCACGCATCCAGCACCTGGTGGAGACCATGCCCGGCGAGTGCCCAGTCCTCTTGTCTACCTCCGAACTGTCCGGGTCCGTGCTGGATGTCATTGAGGCTGGCCCGCATGCTGGTGCTCTCACCAGCGGCATGGCCACCCTGGCGGCTCTGATCAACCCCGCGGCACGGCTGCTTCGCGAGGGCTTTGTCCAGGTGAAGCGCATCATTGAGCCGCGGAAGTCGTACGTTGCTTCTTTCTTTCTTTCTTTCTTTCTTTCTTTCTTTCTTTTTGCCCCCCTTCTCTCTCTCTCTCTATCACGGCCGCGCTTGGCCGAGGAGCCTCCCTGTATCTGACCTCTCCAATGGCGCAGACTGCTTTCGCCACTGCGCTCCGGCACATACTACCTGCTGGTGTTTGAGAAGATCGCCATCTTCGCCAAGGCCACGGACATCTCCGCCAAGCAGACCACCGGCCGGCCAGTGGGTGGCGGGTCTTTGCGCCTGGTGGCCGCTCTGCCAGCCAGCCTGGTGACCGGGGTGGGCCAAAAGCCAGATCGACCGACTCTATGCGTCACATATGGGCGGCTGACCGGGCTGTCGCGCTCGCCCTCGCGCAATGAGGACCTCTCGAGTGAGCTCTACCCGACGGCTGGGCGCTTGGCTTCGGCCACGTCGTATGCATCGCTGGCTGAGGCCGCTTGCAGCGGCTCCTCCCGAGCCGAAGCCGACGCCGGGTCCTATGCCGCTCCGTTGAACCCAAATGGCCCCACCTTGCGGGCATCTTCCTCTTCCGGGACCTTGTTGAACTTGATCGAGGCCGTTTCCTCCTCGATTGTCCCCTCAGCCGGGGCTGCAGGCCAGTCTCCTGGACATGCGCGATCCCTCTCCCCCTCGGCCTCGGTGGCTGGGCTTTCCCGCAGCAACTCCCTTTCGCGATCTCTCTCGGTGTTGGGCCTGGCAACGCCAGCCCAATCGGAGATTCAGCTCAAGGCTCCGAAGACAGTGTCCAACCCGATGTCCATTGTGGAGGATTGGCTGCCGACCCTGCGTGAGTTTGCGGATCCTGTCTATTGAGGCGGAAGGGGGCAGTTCCCTTTCCCCTGTTTGGGCACACACCACCCTCTTTATACACATGTACACGCGCATGCAAGCGCGAGCGCACTCTCTCTCTCTCTCCCTCCCTCCCTCTCTCCCTCTCTCCCTCTCTCCCTCTCTCCCTCTCTCCCTCTCTCCCTCTCTCTCGTACGCCGCTTAGAGGATGCGCTGGTAACCGCGGGCGCGTGCCCGCCCTGGCCGCCTGGCGCCTGCGTATCATATGACATAATAGACCGATCGCATGATCAACGGACCGGCAGTGCCGACGCATCAGCCATCTCTCCCCATCTTCCCAAGACATGACTGGAGATGAGAGCCAGGAGGGCCCAGGGGAGCGCCTGTGTCACCTGCCGGGTGGCTTGGGCCTCCCAAACAAGGTGACAGTCCCCTGCGCGCATGTCGGGCCTCGTGTCGCGGAACCCCCCGTTCCCATGGGGGTGGTGGTACGGCCTTCGGGGGGGCGGCGGGCCGTTTCTCTTGCCGCCTGCGGGCTGGGACACGGCCTGTGCGCTAGTGGCCAGCTGGGGGGCTGGTTTTGGGGTGGGCCTCCTGGCCAGGAGTAGTTCCCCCCCCCCCACCCCCCACCCACCCGTTCCCCGCCCAGGTGCCGATGTGGACCAGGCATTGTGAATCAACGGGTATCCACCCCCGGAACATGATCGGCCGTGGCCGATCACCGCCACGCATCCCTCTAGCTGTTCCTTCTGTCATTTCGGTCATTCCCCCTCATCCCCGCCCCAGCCACCACACACTCACACACTCACGGAACTGTTAGGTGGATCCCGCGTACACATATTTTTCAACACACACCATTTTTCCTGCCGCCCACGGCACTGCCCTCCTCCCCTCCCCTCCCCCTTCCCCCCTCTCCTCTGCTGCTCTCCCGTTCCCCCGCCCACCCTACCCGCCCGCACTTGACCAGGATGGCTGCTCCGAAGAATGTCCTCCGCTACCTGCGCGCACCCCCGAGTACCTTCGCCTTCATCGACAATGCCTATATCTGCCTGAGCAAAAGCGCCAGCACGGCCTCCCTCTCTGGCTTGAACGAGGAGACCCTGCCCCCTGGTGGCGGCAACACCTGCGACCGGTCGCTGGTCATGGTGGATCCGGCCACCGGCCTGCATGTGGCAGATGTCCCGGCCGCCGGGGTTGATGTCGTCGACCGGGCTGTGAAGGCAGCCCAGCGGGCCTGGTACCCGGCCGAACAGCCAGCCACCGGCCCTTCGGTGGGCTGGCGCTTCTCCACCGGCCATGAGCGCCATTCGATCTTGACCCGGCTCGGGGAGCTGATCCTCGGCGACCGGGAGCGCCTGGCCCGCATCGAGTCTCTGACCATGGGCAAGCCCATCGAGGCGGCCCGTCATGATGTTGACGAGACCGCGGCCACCTTCGCCTCGTACGGCCGCCTGTCGCAGCACTGCTTCGCTGACAGCCATGCCCACTGTGCCATGGACGCCGGCCCCGGTGCGGCGCCCGACTTCGGCAACGCCTTCCGCGCGGCCGTCGGCGCCCCGTGGATGGCCGACATGGAGGGATTCCTCTCGCAGGGTGCCTTCCGCGCGCGCATTCTCTCCGAGAGCGTGGGTGTCGTCGGGCAGGTGCTCCCTTGGAACTGTGCGCTCCGCTCCACTCTCTACTGCCGACCCCTCTTCGCCAAGGAATCCATTCTCCTCTGTCTCTCTCTCTCTCTCTGTCTCTCTCTCTCTCTCTGCCTCTCTGCCTCTCTGCCTCTCTCCTTCTTGGACTTCTTTCGCCTGACACCCCTCGATGGTTTCTTCTGGACACCCAGTCCCCCTCACCACGGCTGCTTGGAAGATCGCCCCGGCCCTGGCGGCCGGCTGCTCGATTGTTGTCAAGGTGCGTTCATGCTGGGGCTTTCCCCCTTGCATCCGGCCCTTGTGCGCCCTTTGTTCTGCCTACTGACACGCTATTGGCCTTCGTAGCCGAGTGAGTATTCGCCATTCTCCCTTTTGGAGCTGGTTGGGCTGGCGGCCAAGGCTGGCCTGCCGCCCGGTGTGCTGAACGTCGTCATCGGCGAGCAGGCCACCGGCTCGGCCCTTGTCAACCATGCCGGTCTGAACAAGATCTCTTTCACCGGCAGTGGTCGGACCGGGTCTATTGTGGCTTCGGATGCGGCCAAGTGTGTCACTCTTGTTACTGGCAAGGGATTTTCTTTCTTTTCTTTCGCCCAAACTCTCTCCTTTTTTTCTCCTTTCGACTTGTCCTGACATGGGTGCACTCGATGGAACGGCCGACGGAACCCCTCCCCCCCCCCCACCACCACCACCACCAACAAAGAAACCTCATCCCCTGCACCATGGAGCTCGGCGGCAAGTCGCCGATTGTCGTGTTCGATGATGTTGACATTGACAAGGGTACGATCGCAAGGCGAAGCCCTTCCATATTTTCACACACACATACACACACACATTTATCCATCTCTCTGTATATGTATATATATATACACACATTTATGCCCCCCTCTTACCCATCATCCTCCTTACTCCGCTCTCCGGGGGAAAAACAACCGAACAAACCCCAGCCGCCCAGACGGTCCTCGACGGCTTTGTCTTCAACACGGGCCAAGTGTGTACGGCCACCACGCGCCTCATCGTGCAGGATACCATTCGCGACCGGTTTGTCGCCCGGCTGGCGGAGCTGGCCGCCCAGGTGCAGACCATCCATCCGCTGGAGGTCCCGGCCGCCGGGGCCCCGAAGCAGACGCGCATCGGGCCGGTGGTCTGCCGCAAGCAGGTGGACTTCATCCGCGCGCCGATCGAGGCCGATATGAAGACCGGCCACTCGAGCATCATCTTCCCGCCGCTGCCCAGCACCGAGGGCACTCCCCTGGATCAGTGGCATGCCCTGTGTCGGTCTGGGCACATCAGCTTCGAGCAGACCGAGCGCCCGGCCCGCGAGGCCACCCTCCTGGCATGGGACATTGCCGAGGACTTCGACCCGGCGTCCCCGGCTACCGCGGCCCCGGAGCCCCTCCCCTTGGCCGATGGGAACTTCGTCCGCCCGGTCATCGTCCAGGTCAACTGCACCCAGTCCAGCCGGATCTGGAAGCAGGAGGTCTTCGGACCGGTGCTGGCGGTGGCCTCCTTCTCCGATGAGCAGCATGCCCTGGCCCTGGCGCATGATACTGAGTTTGGCCTTGGCGCGGCGATTCTGTCCGGTGTGTCAGACGGCCAGTCGCAGCTGCTGCCTGGCCTCGAGCAGGTCGCCTGCGCCGATCGCCAGCGGCGCCTGGCGCGCATCGATTACATGGTGCGCAACCTGCGCTCCGGCTATGTGTGGGTCCAGAATAGCCAGACGGCCCCGGTCTTCTTGCCCTTCGGGGGTGTTCTGCACAGCGGCTATGGTCGCGAGCTCAGTATCCACGGCTTGCAGAGCTATCTCGTGGAGAAGAGCGTCCTCGAGGCGGTTGGTCGTGCGGACTAAGCCGAGCCTCCCCCCCCCCCCCCTTGGGCACATACCCGCGTGCGCCCCTCTCTCCAGTGGCCAAAGATCCCTCATCCTCCCCTGTGCTCTCGTGAGAAATATACGAGTGTGAATTTGTTTGCGAACTTGTGCGTGCGAATCTCCGTCAAAAAGGGTGACCATGTGTGTCTCTCGCGCCCCTCCGACCAATTGAATGGATGATGTGAGCGACCTTCACCAGGCATTTATCATCAGCAGTCTATTATATGGAGGCCAGAAGGCCCTGGAAAGAGGGGAGGAGGGATGCTGTTGTGGAAGCTACACCAAGGAAGGGGAGATGAATTTGGCACCAACACGGTCGGGGCCCCATTCCCTCCCCTCGCATAACCATAGCCGCCAGTTGCGCCCGAGAGCAAGCATTTAGCGCGTCCGGCGCTTTGGGCGGGCAGACTTCCCCTTGGACGAGGTCGAGCGCACGGTGTTGATGATGGACCCGCTGGTGTCGACGGCAATCCGGCGTCCGTGACGCAGCTCCTCCAGAGACTGGGACAGCAGGGCACGCAGCTGATCATTAAGATGCGCGAGGCGCTTTTGCTCGCGACCCGACAGGGCATGCATCTCAGCTCGGCGGTTCTCCTCATCCTCATCGGTGAAGCGCGACCGCTTGCCAGACGGAGCATCATCGTCATCATCATTGCCCTGGCGACTGGCCGCGCCGCGCCGACGCTTCTTCGACAGGGTGAACACCTTGTCCACGTCGTCATCCGAGTCGACATCCGAATCCTGGTCACTGAGAATGATGTCCATCTCCTTGGCCATGTTGGCGAACCAGCCCTTATCGGCGTTCTTGCGGCGGTGGCGGTGGTGCGTGACCTCGATCTCGGCAGCGATGCGCAGTCGGTCGCGCAGCCGGTGCACCACAATCTCCTCCGTGGGATGGGGACGAAGGCCACTCTGTTTGGGAGGGAAAGGGGGAGAGATCAGAGAGAGTGGAGGTGCCTGGGTGAGTGATGCGCGCGCGCACACATGCATGTGTGGATGTGTGGATGTGTGTGTGTGTGTGTGTGTGTGTGCGGGAGAGGCGAAGGCGTTATGTCCGACGATCATATGCGCGCGTGCGTCCGTACCGGCTCATCGAGGGCCTTGCAGATGTTGTGGTAGACGTCCAGCTCGGACGGACCGACCAGGAGAACCGTGTTACCAGAGGTGTTGGCACGGGCCGTTCGGCCGGACCGGTGGACGTACGTATCGGCGGTGCGCGGGAGCTGGTAATGCACGACATGATCAACGGCCGGGACGTCGATACCGCGGGCAGCGACATCCGAGGAAATGAGGACGGTGGCCCGGGGGGCCTTCGGGTCGGCCGACCGGAAGCGGTCCAGGTTCTTAAGACGCTGACGCTGGGGCATCTGCGCGTGGAGACCATGCACCTGGACGTCTACCAGCGTCAGCAGGGGAACCAAGCGACGAATGGTGTTGATACTATGGAAGTCACCAGCAAGAAGGGTGGATGTCAGGCTCAGTGCAACACCGCGGTCCTGGAAAGCGGAGCGTGATAAAACCCAAAGAAACGGAGAGAAAGAAAGCCAGCTGAAGAGGGCACATGTGTACGCGTGTGCGCTTGTGTGTGCGAGAAAGAGAGAGAGAGAGAGAGGGGGGGGGAGAGAGAAAGAGAGGGGGTGTGTTTGTGTAACCACGCACCTGTTCACAAAGACCATGACCTTGCCGGTAACTGACAGCAGCAGGTAGTACAGGTAGAGGTCCTTGTCGCCATCCTCGCAGAAGATGCGCGTCTGGGTAAGACCGGCGGCGACAACGCCCTGCCGGCCGAAGTCCACACGGATCGGCGCCTGCGGGCCGCGGTTGAAGCGAATCCGGCTCATCAGGTCATCCAGGCCACCGGCAACGTGCTTTTTGCGCCCGTGCAGGTTCTTTTTGAAGTTCCGATCCAGCGCCATGGTAGCTGAGAAGACCAAGGTCTGACGACGGAAAAGGGCTTTGTCGGCGGCGGAGTCTGTGGGGCATGTGGAAAGGAAGCCGGTTAATCTCAGCGATTGAATGAGCATGTGTGCGCCCCTGCCAGCGGATGGGAAGCTCCAACCATGCATGTGTGTGTGTGTGTGTGTGTGTGTGTGTGTGTGTGTGTGTGTGTGTGTGTGTGTGTGTGTGTGTGTGTGTGTGCACAGGTGGGGGGAGGAGGGAGAGGGGGGGGGGGGGCAGCATGTATGTAGGAGCTGATGTGCCGAGCCCCTGTCGCCCTCCGCCTCGGCAATTCTACCACGCACCGGCACCTTCAGCCTCGGGAGTCTCCTCGGAAACTTCTGGCATGTCCAGGTAGTCGTCCTCATCATCCTCATCATCGTCAGCGTTGTCAGCCTGCTCGGTACCCTTGGTGCTGGGCATGGTGGTCTCCGACTCCGCAGGGGCATCGGACTTCTCAGCATCCTGCTCATCGGCGGTCGCAGGGGTCGATGTGGGCATTTCGACGTCCCAGGTGATGACGGTCGGCGTGCGCTGGACCCGATCCAGGATTTGGTCCAGCTCGCGGAAGTGGCCGGTCTCCACCATGCGATCGGCCTCATCCAGCACCAAGAAGCGCACCGACGAGTAGAGATCCTGCAGGAAAGGATGGCGGTCCTCGATCAGCTCCCACAGACGGCCTGGGGTAGCCACGATGACCGACGGCCGGGCGCGCAGCTGGCGATCCTGCTTCTGAGTGGACAGGCCACCCACGAGGGCCATGATGCGCAGGTCGGTGGCGAACTTGGCCACGGCGCAGAGGTGGTCGCGGACTGCCCGCGCGCATGGATGTGTATGGGTCAGTGACTGGACCAAGCAGCAAGAAGGAGCACGAGACCGGATATAGAAGACATGAAAGGGGAGGACGAGGGGGCGAGACAAGTCAAAGGGAGAGGCAGAGGGCCGGAGAGGCGGAGAGGGAGGGAGGGGACGCACCCTGAAGGGCCAATTCACGGGTGGGCGTGATGATAAGGAACTCCGGGCCACGGAGAACCGGCGGAGTGGCCAAACCATCGCGCAGGTTCAGCAGTCGCGAGAGGATGGGCACACCGAAGGCCAGAGTCTTACCGGAGCCGGTCTCGGCAGAGCCAATCAAGTCGCTGTTGAGGGAAGGGCGGAGAGCAAGGGGGGGGGGGGGGGGGGGAGAGCGAGAGAGCACGCCCGGGAAAGAGGTGGGGAAACGGACGGAAAGGATATCGGTTGGCACATGCGCGCAAAGGAAAGGGGAAGATACATCAGAGACGGGGAGGCCCCTGGCGACGCACCGACCATCACGCAGAGCCACACGCAGAGAGGCCGCCTGGATGGGCGTCGGCTTGAGGAACTTCAGCGCACGCAGGCCGTCCAAGATCAACGGGTGGATGGCCTCGCCGGTGGGGACGGACTCGACGCTGTCATCCAACTGGACAATCGAATGCTGAGTACGGCGCTGGTTCTTGGGGCCGCGGGCCAGCGCATGGTCCACATACTCCAGCTCGGCCTCGGAGGGCGGCGCGGTCAGGGCCTCGACCCAGGGCGAGACATCCACATCGTGGAGAGTCTCGCGCTCGGCGGCCAGCTGGTCCAGATGCTCGGCCCAGGTGACCTTGGGCTGCTTCTTCTTGGAAGAGGTGCTGGTGGCGGTGGCATCAGCGGCAGAAGCAGAAGCACCGGCATCGCTGCCGGCAGGGGAGGCAGCACGCTCGGCCCGGCGCTGGCGCATCGCACGTGCGCGCTCCAGCAGGCTTTGGTGGTACGCGCTCAGAGGAGCCTCGGGCTCCTGGGGCTCCTCAAGGGCGTCGACGAATTCCTCCTGGTCGGAATCAACCTCCCCGGCGGGGGGGGCAGGGGACTTGGTGTCGAGCTCGGCCTCCGGCGGGGTGTCCTGCTTGGGCTTCTTGGGCTTCCTCTCCTTCTTCTTCTTGGGCTTCTTGGCTTGCTTGTCTTGCTGCTTGGGCTCGGGGGCATCCTCGGACCCGGGGCCGGCCTCGGGGGCAGCCGCGGCCGGGGCATCGGCCTTCTTGCCGGGGGCTTCCGGCAGGTTGATGCCATAGAAAGCCGTGAAGGCCTCGGGACTGAGCTCCTCGATGCCGGTGACGCAGGACCCATCATCTGCGCCTCCAAGGAAGAGGTCCTCCATGTTGCCGAAGGAGACCCACGAATCGTCGGCCATGCTCAGGTAGCCCTTGTTGGTCGGGACGCCAGACCCGGCACTGGTGGCGGCCTTGGGCTTCTTGGCCTTGGTGGCTCGCTTTTGGGGGGCGGCAGCCTGCCGTTTGGTGCTGCTCATGGCTCTTTCGGCTTCGAGGGAGGGGCGGCGGGAATCCGCGGGGAGGGGGGGGGGGAGATAGAAGGGGTGCCAGAAGGAAAGAACGAGAACAAGAAAGAGAGAGGGAGAGAGGGAGAGGGAGGGGGAGGGGTCGTGGGCAAGGTAGGTGGTGACTGGTTCAGGAAACGGAGAGAAAGAAAGCCAGCTGAAGAGGGC